AGGCCTTTGCTATTAGGTTGGAGGCCTTTGCTATTAGGTTGGAGGCCATCGCTATTAAGTTGGAGGCCTTTGCTATTAGGTTGAAGGCTTTTGCCATTAGGTTGGAGACCTTTACTTTGCTATCAGGTTGGGCCATAGCAATTAGGTTGGAGGCCATCGCTATTAGGTTGGAGTCCTTTGCTATTAGGTTGGGGGCCATCGCTTTTGGTTTGGAGGTCGTCGCTATTAGGTTGGAGGCCTTTGCTATTAGGTCCGACGCCATTGCTATTAGGTTCGGGGCCTTTGCTAGTTGGTTGGAGGCCATCGCTATTAGGTTGGAGGCCATCGCTACTAGGTTGGAGGCCTTTGCTATTAGGTTGGAGGCCATCGCTACTAGGTTGGAGGCCTTTGCTATTAGGCTGGAGGCCATCGCTACTAGGTTGGAGGCCATCGCTATTAGGTTGGAGGCCATCGCTATTAGGTTGGAGGTCATTGCTATTAGGTTGGAGGCCATTGCTTTTAGGTTGGAGGCAATTGCTATTAGGTTGGAGGCTATCCCTTCTAGGTTGGAGGCCATCGCTATTAGGTTGGAGGCCATCGCTGATAGGTTGGAGGCCTTTGCTATTAGGTTGGAGGCCATTGCTATTAGGTTGGAGGCCATCCCTTCTAGGTTGGAGGCCATCGCAGGACCAACGCATATGGAGCGCTCCATTGCAACAGCTCAGCTACACTTACCCCACCCATTATTTGGAGGAATATTGGATTGTGTTCCTATCCAGCTTGGGCAACTGGCACATGCACACATGCACAGAGCCAACTCACATCCACACATCACACGCAAACAGTTCTGCCAAACAGTTTCACGCGGCAAAGGACCACGTGCGCATAACATGCCCTAGCTAGTGCAAATGTCTAGTGGTCAGGTGCCACCAGCTCTGTAATTACATGAACCGTTTGCGCTTCAGCTCTTTGAGCGACAGCGTCTGCAAATAGGATGCCCTCTCATCACTTTGCATCCACAACTGTTCTGCTTCTCTGTAGCCAATGCTTTTGGCAGCTCGCTGTGTCTCAATGAAATCCCTTTTCTTCCGCAAGAAGATCTGGGGCTCATACTTCACAACACAAGCACCCTCACCAACTACTTCCTTTTCCTTGGACGAGCCAGCACCCGGGACCTCCCCACCCAAACCATTCTCAACTTCATCATCAGCAACAACAGCCTGTTTGTTTTTCTTTGCATTTTTTCTGGTTGGGTTTTTCTTCTTCTGGCCATCATCTTTCGGAGCGTCAGCACACACATCCTCCTTTGCACCCTTCTCCCAAACACTGAAAGGCACCACAGGTTCTGCAGCTTTTTCTGTCTGCAGCGCTTCCAAAACAAACTTTGGTAACACATTGGACCGAGCCGGTGTAGGGATAGGTCTTTCCTCAGGCCCATCTGCTTTGGCAGGTTCTACAGGAGCTGAAGCCAACGCAGCAGCTTTCTGTTCCTTCATTTTCTTCACTTTCTCTGCCAGAACTTGAGCCCAATCAGGTGGAGCAGCCAGCTGTTCAAGATCTTCTTCTTTGGCATATTTGTCCTCAGCCTTTGCATCTGGAGCTGACTCTCCTTCTTGCTGCAAGCGTTGCTTCAAGCCCTGAATCGCTCTATTTTGCCCCATGAGGGCTCTGACGGTAGACATCCCCAAACTTTGTCACCACCTTCTTGAGACCAAGTGCCATCCGCTGCAAAAGCTTCCAAAGCTTGAATGGCTACTCCAACTGGCAAGCCTTGCTGCTCATAATGGAGTTTCACAGCAGCCGCTAAAACTTCCTCGCTGAGCTTTGCGTGTGGAGTCACGCTCATCACAGCGAAGACAGCCTCCCACAACCAGTCACCCACACTGTATCTATAAACTGTACCAAGAAAAATTACCTTCTTCACAAGAACATGCCTCCACATTCAGCTCAACATCTTTGAGCGAAGCCGGTTGCTTCCCAAAAAATTCTTTGGAGTATGCCTGCAGGAAGTTGAATCCGGCCTAAGTGCAAGCATCTATACCCTCTCCAACAAAATACACATGTTCAAGGCCAGGGCTTTTCTCAAGCGTTCTTCTCGACAAAATGCGTCAGCATACTTCTGTACCAACTCTGGCTCATCTCTGGGTTGCGCGAGAAGTCGGGGCATTGCTACAAAACCCTTGAGACAAAACAGCTGCAGCTAGCTTAAGGAATTTGTATGCAAGTACTGAAAGCTGCGCACACACACACATACAATTCACCACATGTGGTCACTTGACGGCTCATCCCACCATCGGTGTTTGCGAAATCCCTCAGTGTTTTCATGAACACCATGAATCAACACACATGCATGCATGAACACATGGCCGCACATGAGCGCATGTACATGCATGAGCGCATGACATTTCATGAACACATGATCATGCATGAGCACATGACCACAACACATGTCATGAACCACATGGCACGAACCACCATGCACCTACCTTGAAAACAATGAAACGTATGAACATGAACACCCATGAAAACCCATGAACATCCATGCATGGGACCCCCAACCATTGGCACTAAGAAGGGCTAAGGTTGCGGCTGGCATCAGACCTGAGGAACCAAGAAGTACAAAGCACAAATCTGACAACCGTTCAAAACAAACAGAGCCCAGCACTTGACATGCCTACAGCCCAACTCTACTTCACACCTCCAAGCAAAAGGAGACTTGAACAGCTGAAGCCTCAAAAGGCACCCACAGCCTGAACCCAGAAGGTCACCATGAGGAGCCTCAAACAAATGATCACGCGGCATTTCTCATACAGTGCACACAAGAGTTCTGGCACCAAAACTCCTGCACATACAACCTTTTTCCCAAACGGACAGTCAGTTCAGTCAGCCATCAAAACGGCCTCAGACGTGAGCAACAAACAAAGCAGTTCAACACACACACACAAACACAAGAACACGTCTCAGGAGGCTACTCAATATGGATACTGCCATGGGTGAAAAGGCCAACCACCACCACCTCCATAACCAGTGTCGAAGGGCCTCAAAAAAAGCTTCTTCAGCACTAAGAAACAATTCCTCACCTTGAGCTACTTGAGTTCAGAGCGTCATGAAGCAAGGGCAACCATGCCCATGTGGAACTCCTGCATGTAGCCCAGGATGCCAAATGGGTGGAGGTGGCGGTTGCGCCCTGCCAGCAAACAAGGTGTTCAACCCAACCAGCAAACAAACACATATAATATATATATATATACAACAAGCCTCCACTGGTCCACTGGACAACCATCACAGCCGGCGGCGGCTTCGGCGCAATGACAATCTCTCCACTGCGCTCCCTGCCAAATGCAGAGTAAGAACTGCAATCTGTTTAACCAATCGAACACGCTAAAACCAAGAAACACCAAGCAAAGCAAGCACCGCCGAAAGGCGGGAATCACAACAAGTAAATTTTGCGCAAATGAGCTGACATCGATGCCTGCGGTTCGGGTCCTTAAATCTCCAAGCGACAACATGCGAAACGGCAAATCTTTCACACAATCAACCATCAAAACTGTGGTGCGCAGCCCAAGCCTCGCAGGAAATCCTTCTGGCGGTGGTGGCACAGGCAATCTCCAAGTTGCCGGTGCAACAAGTGGGGGTGAGGCTGCAGTTGCCTTTGGAACTGGGGCAGGAAGTGACGGTGGCGAGCTGGCCGGCGCAGGTCGGTTGGTGGGCATAGCCTTAGGTGCCCTGTTCTTAGCTGCCAGCTCATACATGTCCTGGCAAACAAATTCAAGTACAGTAAAGGGCGAAGCGTGATTCATCCTGCCTCTAAGCGCTTCAGTTCAGCACGCTTGATCATTATTTGAGCAAGACCTGCGTCAGGTTTGGCTTTCACAGGAGTTGGCTTCGGCACAGAACTGGAGGCGGCTCCAGGCTCTGCAGCTGCACCACTCCGGTCTCCAGGCCCAGTCTTTGCCTTGGACCTGGCCTAGGCACAAAAAGCAAATGAAATATCAAAAACATAAAAGAAAAACACATTTTATCTGAGCCTCCCACAGCTTTCGCTGCCTTTCCAGCCACCTTCTTCACGAAGGGTTTCTTCACCACCATCACCACCTGCAGGCAATGAAAAAGAAACCATGTACACCTAAGGCTTCCCATTTGCCGCCTCTCCAGACTGCATACCACGCCGCTTCATCACAACGCTTGAGGGCCAAAAACGCTGCACACAACAATCAAAACGCTTCGGAAACCCAACAAATGTTTCACAGCACTCACCTCCCAAGGTCCACATGCAAATGTTGGCTGGCCCGGTCAAAAGGCTTTGAGCCACGCGCAACACACCATGTTTCACATAAAGAGAAACCATCATGCATGAACAATCCAACAATATCCAACATGTGTCATGTCTTCATGAACAATCATGTAATGTCATGAAACATGAAAACACCCTACATATGCATGAACACATTCATGAACTATCATGTGATCCCATTTGGACATGAGCGCAACCAAACACACAGCATTTATCATGAACACATTAAAAACATGCAAACACCATCTAAACATACTGAGATCAAACTTGTGAGTGGGGGAGATGGCATCGAAATGTCCATTTCCATGCCATATCCCCCCATATCCCGTTTCCATGCCAAAACCCCTTGAAATGACTCTCTGGGTCCAACCTACTCGCGTTGGCCTCCAACCTTCTCGCGATGGCCTCCAACCTCGCGATGGCCTCCAAGCGTCGTTGAGCGAGAAAATTGAGGTCGGAGTGGCGGATGCGTTGCTGACGTGTCTTGCTCGGCCGTTTTTCAAGCAAAAGCGGTGAGTGAAAGCGTCGCGAAACGATGGGTGCGTTTCAGACGCAACGGGAACTGCTACCTTCGCTTGCCATGAATGACGTGAAATCAACCTTGTTTACACAGCGCAACACCCAGCATCCATTGCCACAGCTGGTGTATCCACAAACACAATGTGGCCACACATGGCTCGGTTTTCCTTAAAATCCGATAGCGCTCCACCAGCCAGGCCCAAGAAGGGTGATGACGTGAAGGTTCACTATGTGGGCACCTTGCAAACTGATGGGAGCCGAGAATCGCGCCGACGAGAACCAAATCACGCCAAAACAATCATGTTTGCTCGCCGCGTGATTTATCGGGCCGACATCAAAATACCGGATCCATGTGTTTTCCGCGAGGATCAAATTATAAGGCAGCAGGTTGGAGGCCATCACTCGTAGGTTGGAGGCCATCTTCACTCTTCAGGAGCAAGTTCGACTCTTCTAGAGATCGGGGTCAGCCTTTTGCTGGCAGCCCAGCACTGTTGAATGCTTTCAATTATTTGTTTCGTTTGTTCTGCGCGGATGTTCGATTACTTGCTTGGTGCTGTGGGATTCAGGAATTCAACCTTGGAAGTGGACAAGTCATTAGAGGCCCAACCAATTCCACACCCGGGCCCGTGCCGGACGGTCCGGTCCTGAAGGTCGGTGTCGGTGACGGTCGGTCCGAAACTGTTGGTCGACACGAGAGAATGTGACCGGCAGGCTGGGACCTGGGTGTGAAGACCATGAAAAAAGGCAGAGCGGCAGAGCGCAAAAGAAAGACATTGACGCAACGTGCTTTCAATAATTTTCATTAGGTCTGCATGTCTGCATGGCTGACTGTTCAATGACCGCAAGCACTTTGTAGGTTCTTTTGAGCCCCCGTTTTTGACACCGTGCTGACATGCCCGTTCTCTAGGCGAAGTCGCAAAGTTCACCCTTGCTCCAGATTTTGCATACGGTGAGGAAGGCCGAGAGCTGGATTGATCTCGAGCGTTCCAAGCGCCCTATCTGGCCTAGCTCCATTTCACTCCGAATGTGAAGCGAGGCTCGCCACCAAAGATCCCACCCAAGGCCTTGGGTGGCGAGAGAGCATTGAGACAGTTTTGAGAAAGTTTTGCATGTGGAAAGCTGCGTGGCCCTGGCAGGCAACTTTAGTTTTTGAAGTGGAACTGCTTGGCTGGCGCCCTTCTGTTCTGCGATTTCTGAAAGTCTACGGGTTTCTTCTCATTTTTCACTCTGGTAGCTCTTTCGGGCGCCGAGTTTGCCGCTCCGTGCCGCTCCGTGCCGCTCGGCCCTGAGGCTGGGTGTCCAAAGATGACCTTTTTGGGGATGAAGGTGCCATCAAGACGCAGCTGAAGGAAGGCTCTGGCTGGAGGACACCCAACGAAGCTCGGAACGAACGCTTCAATGCGAGCAAGAGTAGCTGCCTGTCTGTCTGTGCCAGCGAAGCCAAAAGTTGAGGAATTCCAGCTTCACCTAAAAAGAAACTAATTCCGTGGATTCTCGCATTTCTCCGGGTCTCTCCGCTTTTTCTCACACTTCATGGGGATTCCTCCACGCCTCCGGATTTTCTCGCCCCGCATTCTCGCACCATCTCCGCATTTTCTCGCTCCAAGTCCGGTTGCCTATTTTCTCCGGCCCGTAATTTCAATTTCTCCGGTTCCGTTTTTGAGAGGTGTAGGAATTCCACACTTCTGACAAAAAGAAAAACAACTTTGAGAAACGATCCTGTTCCGGCATTTAAGGCTTAGCTGATGTGTCTGTATACAGTGGAGTCCGTGGATTCGTGAAATGGAGTTTCGTAGTTTGTAGCTTTAGATTAGGACCATTCCTATCAGGTTGGAGGCCATTGCTATTAGGTGGGAAGCCATCGCTTTTAGGTTGGAGGCCATTGCTATTAGGTTGGAGGCAATTGCTATTGGGTTGGAGGCCATGGATATTAGGTTGGAGGCCACCGCTATTAGGTTGGAGGCCGTTGCTGTTAGGTTGGGGGCCATCGCTATCAGGTTGGAGGCCATCGCTATTGTGTTGGAGGCCATCGCTAGTGGGTTTGAGGCCATCGCTATCAGGTTGGAGGCCATCGCCCTTTGGTTGGAGGTCATTGCTAATAGTTTTGAGGCCATCGCTATTAGGTTGGAGGCCATCGCTATTAGGTTGGGGGCCATCGCTATCAGGTTGGAGGCCATCGCTAGTGGGTTTGAGGCCATCGCTATTAGGTTGGAGGCCATTGCTATTAGGTTGGAGGCCATCGCTATTAGATTCGAGGCGATCGCTATTAGGTTGGAGGCCATGGCTATTAGGTTGGAGGCCATCGCCATTATAGGTTGGAGGCCACCGCTATTAGATTGGAGGCCATTGCTATGAGGTTGGAGGCCATTGCTATTGGAGGCCATGGCTATTAGGCTTGGAGGCCATCGCTATTAGGTTCATTGCTGTTAGGTTGGGGGCCATTGCTATCAGGTTGGAGGCCATCGCCCTTTGGTTGGAGGTTCGGAGGCCATCGCTATTAGGTTGGTGTCGGCTTTCTGGTTTCAGCGATCTGACTCGTTCGCTTCAAGTCTCTGACGCGCCAAAGTGGGCTCACCTCAAACGAGGGAACCCTGCTACTGTTTTTGAGCTTGAAGGGCAACTTGCTGTGCCATGGCATTGCACTTTGAAGTCCAGAGGGCCTTGTGGATTCCTATTGTGAGGATTGGAAAAGTGGACTCGACTTGGACATTACTTCGTTGCTTGGCTTCCACTTCGCTTTGCAATTTTGGTCGCTTACGCTTCGTTACCAAATCTCAAACTGAGATTGGTAGCGGAGCTTAATTGGCTCCAAGGGACCTGGGCCTCGCCCGCTTCTTGTCATTGAGCTCTTCGATTACTTGTTTGGGAGTGGCAGCACTACGCCCAATACCGCACCTTTGCCCGACTCATTGCGTGTGTCTTGGCGAACAACCCCATGGAGGTGGCAAAGGAAGAAAAGCTGTTCCGATGCACTTGGAACGGAGCTGTCTCAACCTTTCAGGACTGTTTCCCAACTGACTGGTCGTGCGTGGACTGTCACTCAGGAGATCAGTCACGAAAGTTTCCTTCAGTGCCCCTCGCGTTCGACCACCTCAACTTCCCAGAAAGGGTCTGGCAAGTTCTTGGTTTCGGAGGTTGGGGAGCCCTAGGTCCTAGGTTTTGGAGGCGCGTGAGGTGATCCCCCAACAAGAGATTCCCCAAATTCTCTCATGCGAGGTCCTTAACCTGAGCTTCAGGGATATGGTGTATGTGCTTGATACGGGAGCAACCGAGTCCGTGAGCTCGCTGGCTGCCTTGGAGTACATCCACCTTCGCAGGACCGAGTTGCTTCACCATGCGAATCATGTGACTGTGATTCCGGGACCTCAGATGTCAGAAGATGTTCCGTTCTGGGAGTATTCTTCACCAGAGCATTGGTGTTGAAGACAGTGGATCCGCATGTTGTGAATGCACCGGTCACGAACTGGCCATGTCGCTGGACCTTTGCTCGAACTAGTACTAGTTGGATAGAGGGGCAAGCATCCTCTTCATGCAAGACACCACGGACACTGACGAGCGTGACAAGGTGTGCGCAGTGCAAGAGGTTTTTCACGAGGCTTTCTCTACATGCCCCCAACCTCACCTTTGTTGAGTTCATCTACGGCCTCTTTCACTACTACCTCGACCCCACTAGCTACTTCACGACAGGTCCCATGAGGTCCAGGTGAGCTTTAGTCAAGGGATTTGCGCCCACGAACACACAGTACATGAATCTTCGACTTTGAAGCGCCCTTCGTTTTCTTGTGTGGAAACTATTTTTCCTGCCTTTGAAGATTCGGAATTGCGAGAGTTTGTTGAAGAGCCGATTGTTTTGGAAGAGTCGGCGTTGTTAGCTGAACGGCGCAATTCCGATCTCGGTATGAGCCTGAGAATTCTGGCCATCCTCGCAATTTCGACCCTCACTTCGCGTCAAGACGACTCAGGGATACATCAATTAGGCGATCCATGTGGACCAGGAGACTTTAATTGACTCCAAAGAGAAAGTCTCGCAAGCCGGAGTACTTGCTGAAGACAGGGGTTCAGAAGTTTCTTGGAGCGTCGCTGGAACGACCAGCCATAGTATATGAGGCCGAGAAGATCCTGGACATTGGACCACCGCTTTCCAAGTATTGCGTCGTCCCTGAGTATGACAACCTGGATCTTAGCACTGCGCTCTCAAAGAATGACTCAATGATCTTCCTTGCAACGAGTTCACGCCTGAGAATGTCAACATGGACGATGAAGAGGTGCCTGACTGCCTGCTCGACCCTTTGCGAAGCTCTGGGAGAGGAGCCGATGTCTGATGATGTGCGTGGCTATGGTCCCGGCGCCCTGAATGACAATGATTTGGAATCTGAGGTTCATTGAGAAGACCTTGCTACCTGTTCTTCGCCGTCTGCGCCTAAAAGGCTTGAGCTCACGGAGCTATGCTGCGAAGAAGACAGTCTGTTGACTCGAACTTGGAGAGCTTCTGGCAGCAAGGCCGGGAGAATGGGATTCTTCAACAAGTGCGACCTTCTTTCTGAAGCCGAAGCAATTCGCCTTGTCAAGCTTCACAAGCCAGAGATTCGTTGGATTTCTTTTGCGTGTGGCGCCACTTCCCTCTCCAACATTTCAACAATTTGACGCCAGAGGGGAGGAAACGGAGCCTTCGTCGAAGGGCTCGTTCTCGAAGACTTGTCAAGAACGGCGTCAAGGTGATTGAAGTACAGCTGAACCAAGCGGTAACCAAGGCGGAGAAATTGCCCAAAATGGAAAAATGGTCCAAGAATGAATGGCTTCTTCGCAACGCTGCTGGGAAATTTGACACCATTCAAGATCTCTGAGATTTGAAGATGTTTTTTTGGGCGGTTGCCAATCTGGCCTCAAGACTGCGCGGGGAGTTGTTGAAGAAACCATGGCGGCTGAGAACTTCGCGCCCCGGGCTTGCTGACGTCCATGAACCGCCGTACATCCTGGCAGTCAAGCGCTGGTGCGAAGTCTGGGGGCAAAAGGCGAGCTCAACAGCCCAAGTGCATGGAATGTCTTGAGGGCACCATGGCGAGACCCTCTCCCAAGGTGTCACTTGAGAAAGAGCAAGAGCTGTGGAGAACTTTTGAAGTTGATGCATTTGGTTTGAAGAAAGGAAACCTCGTGCGCCATTTTCTTCTGATGCTGGATGAGGCGTTGGGTTTTCCGTCGTCCATGAGGTCATGTCACATCCTGACGAACAACGTGAGAACATCCCAGCCACATTGGATGCTTTGGTGCAACGTTGGTTCCAATATTGGAACGCCTGCATGTTTGAGATGTGATTTGGAAGGAGCCTTTCGTGGAGGTTTGTTGCCGCAGCAGAGACATTGAGCTATCTTTTGCGCCCGCGCAGCACCACGAAGCAACTGGAGACGTCGAACAGACCATAGGTGAACTGAAGAAGAAGATGCTGGCTTATCTTCGACGAGACAGCTCAGCCGAACCTCGTCTTGCTGCTTATGAAATGTGTGCAGCTCACAACAGGTTCGCTCGTGTGAGTGGCTTTTCACCGATTCAATGGGCTTTTGGTGAGCATCAAATCTCAGTGCGGCTGGTGACCCAACGTCTGAGATGAGCAAGAACCGTTTGGATGCTGAGGCTTAGTACAAATAGATGCGAAGATCTCGAACGCCAAACCTGATCGAACCACACAATACATAACAGGAGATCGGAGGTACAAATTCCCAAAGGACTTCACTGCCCATCGTGAACTTGATCTATAGCGCAAGGCAGTCATTTTCGCTGGTTTGGCCGCGAGGGTGCTGGCCTGTGAGACTTGCGTCTCAGAGGATTCGTTACTCCGTCGCGCTGGAAATGTGGTGTGGGTCATATCTGCTCTTCGGACGCCTAATCCCTTGTCCAGGGTCTGTCCCAGAGCTGTGAACGTCCAAGGAAGAGTAGTCTCAGCAATGAGCTTTGTTCACTCGAATGGCGAAGTTGCGAAGTATGTGCGCGTTTGAGCCTCTCCTCAGTGTCAGATGACTCAGAAGAAGAGCTTGTACCAGTTCCTGAAGAATCAACAGCAGCTCCATCCTATCCTATCTCCGTATAAAGCGAACTCCAGCTGAAGATTTGGACGCCAGGCGAGGTGAGTTTCAACGAGCTCGTCATCGGCGTGAGATGGAAGACCGACCTCTCCACATGTAGCAAGCAGCACAGTCTTCACAACCTTTTTCTCCAGCCTTGTGGTGTGATGATGTGGATATCCCGATTCCTGAAGATGAAGCGGCTTGAAAGAAGGTGTTGAAGAACCCGGGTCCCTTCGCGCAGAAGGTCGCTGAAGTGGCGTGGGAGAAGTTGACGCCTGAACAGCGTCAGAGCATGAAAGAAGCTAAGATGATGGAAGTCTCACAGCGCGTATGCCAAAAGGTCTGCAAGCGCTTCAATCCCAGATCGCGGCTGATGGCTGATGTGCTCTCGTTGGGCCCTTGTGTTTAAGGCAATTGATGCGGTGATGAAAAGCAGGTCAAATTGTAAGGCAAGAATCGTCCTTCTCGGCTACACCGATCCAGGCTTGGATGAGTTAGCCACTGGAGCTCCGATCATGACGAGGAGGTCGTTCGTGGCGCGACTTGGTGGCTAGGTCCCAGACAGTGAGACCAGGGACTTTCGCGAAGAGTTTTTAGGGCATGTCGGTTTTCTTGTTTCAGCCATTTGACTCGTTCGCTTCAAGTCTTTACGCCAAGTTGCGCTCGCCTCAAGCCAGGGAACCCTTCAGCCCATGCCGTGCCAAACGGCGCTGTTGCCGGCTACTGTTTTCGACCTTGCTGCGCCATAGGGCATTGGAGGCCAGAGGGCCTTGTGGATTCCTAGCGCGAGGATTGGAAAAGTGGACGCGGCTTGGACAGTTATTTCGTTGCTTGGCTTCCACTTCGCTTTGCAATTTTGGTCGCTTCCGCGTCATTACCAATTCTCAAACTGAGAGTTGGAGGCCACTGTTATTAGGCCAGGGGCCATTGCTATTAGGTTGGTGGCCATCGCTATTAAGTTGTAGGCCGTTGCTATTAATATAGGTGGGAGCCATTGCTGTTAGGTGGGGGCCCACGCTATCAGGTTGGAGGCCATTGCTATTCGGTTTGAGGCCATTTCAAAGAGGTTGGAGACCATCGCCCTCATTGCTATCCATCGCTGTTAGGTAGGCCATTGCTTTTAAGACCAGGATCCTCTTGAATGACCTTCAAGTGTGCCGTGGCCTGGTGTGACTGGATCAGTATCGAGCTTCTCCACTTTATACCAGTCTGTACTTTATGCAACGCGCCTTCATCCACTTCTTTCTTACGAAGTATCCTTTCTCCTCGTAATGTTTTTCCTGAGCTCGTTTTAATGCGCGCTCCTGCTCTTCCCATGCTTTTGTTGGCTGCTGCAGGATTGCTGCTGTTTGGTTGCTTCTGGTTTGTTGGTTTGCTGCTGCTGCCGCTGCTGCTGCTTGCCAACCTTTCACCCACCGCCTTCTCTCAAGTGACTGTGTTGACTAAGCGCACGTTGGGTTTTGACTTTCAATATTTTTAGTCCTTGCAAGTTGGAGGGTTCCTAATCCTTCTGAAATGGGTCAAAAACCTCTTGCGAAGATGAAGAAGACTTGCAAGGACAGGAGGTTTGAGGTAGGTAATTAGGGCCACATCGGCCGAGGATGGCAAGGAGGTCCTCCTGAGCCTCAAAGCAAAGGCACATTGGGCGCATCGAGCATGAGATGGTGACGACGTTGTCAACATCGGCCGCTGAACTTTTTGCTGTGCGTCAGATGAATTGAACATAATTCTGCACGCCGACAATTTCTCGCGACACGGAAGGCCCCTGATGATACAGTTGTGGAGGAGAAGTCGCAGGAACGAACCAGACAATCCAAAAAAATATTGCAAATAAAGTGTGTGAATTCTCCCTAGGCACAAGAGCCATGCTTAGTATCATGACAGTGTGAAGTCAATTGCCACCGCAGATCGAATACGTGTTGTCCTCTGATGCCCTTGGCGAGTTGGGCAAGGTTGTAGATAAGGCAGGGGACATCACAAGAAAGAGACAAAACCACAAAAAATGTGGTATGGCTGTAGGGGTTTGAACATGTTAGAAAGAGGTCAGTTGCTTCACATGAAGAGAATTGACACGAATCCAGTGGCTGTTTTCAGATTTAACAGCTCTCTAGTCAGTCTAAAAGGACCATCTGGAGTCGATAGAGATACGCATACACATGTCACACATTGTACATGTAAATGCTGTCACAGACCAAACATTTGTCCAACTCCAGGTTCTGCTGAACATGAAGAAAGATGAAGAGGTGGCGGTGAAGTGCACCAAGGACCCTGTGAAAACACATGCCGACGCCCATGGGGTGTTTACATCAAGCTTGCCTACTAGCGATGCCCTCCAACCTTATGTGCAACCTCTTGACACCTCCCAAAAACGTGACGCCTCTTCAGACCAACTTGTCTTCCATGCGCAGAGGACTATTTCCTTGGAGACAAATACCCAGAGGGTGGCACAGCTGGTTTGCTCAGCATAAACAATTAGTCAATTATATAGCAATAAATTGCAACACAAATTATAGCATACAACTAAGCTTCTTTGCTCATTGAACATTCGATCCTGACTTTCGCCGCTCAGGTTGAGGTCACGTTGCATGAAATGTACGACGTGAAGGAGAGGGCCAGCTGGCCAGCTGTCAATTCCATTTGCGAAGCCGTTTGAGCCCAATTGTCGGAGTGAGGACGTTTCCTTCGCCAAAGACAAGCTACTTGCAGTGCACAATAAAGGCATGGCAATGGGTTGCTTGATGTTGCTTGTGTCCTTCCATTGCGCAAGCCTTACCCTGATCTCTAAAGTGTGTCCGACAGTATGTCCCTCCCGGGCAAGTCAACCTTTGCTCGGAACGGGTTCTTGGGCACCCGTGAAAAGCCCAGTGGTTGGGAGAAGTGATATGGTAGTGGCTTCTTCCTGTGGGAGGAATACCAATCTTAGGTCCACGATGAAGAAGCAGATAAAGGAAGGAGAAGACGGGATCTTGGGCTCGGTAGAAGAGGGTTTTGACCTTGCTCTTGGCCTTCTCACATCGACTAAGACCTGAAAGCGGAAGACATGCAAAGTTGCAAACTTGCGTCCTCCCGATCTCATCCTGATCCCCGGAGACATCCCCAAAGACGCACGCCAAGACATTACTCACTATGTCTAAGGCTATGAGTCGCCGAAGGATGGTTGCAAAGTGACCTTAAAGGCAAGGCACTGATGTGAGGGTGCCGTGCGATTCAACCGCGCAGCCTTGCACAGGGCGATGCGGCCTTTCAAATTCATTCCAGCTTTGTGAATGCTGTGAACGAGGTTGAAGTTGCAGGAGCATCAAAGACGTCATGTTCTGAGACGTGTTGCCGCTTGAGTTGACGACGCGGATGTGCCACTGGAATTGGCTGGACTCTCGCCTCCAACCTACTGTGCAACCGCTTGACCTAGAAGCGATGGCCTCCAACCTACTAGCGGTGGCCTCCAACCTAGAAGCGATGGCCTCCAACCTAATAGCCATGATGGCCTCCAACCTAGTACCGATGGCCACCAACCTAATAGCGATGGCCTCCAACCTACTGTGCAACCTCTTGACCTAGAAGCCATGGCCTCCAACCAAATAGTGATGGATAGTGATGGCCTCCAACCTAGAAGCCTCCAGCCTACTGTTCAACCTCTTGACCTAGAAGCGATGACCTGCAACCTAATAGCGATGGCCTCCAACCTAGAAGCGATGGCCTCCAACCTACTGTGCAACTTCTTGACCTAGAAGCGATGACCTAGCCTCCAACCTAGAAGCGATGGCCTCCAACCTACTGTGCAACATCTTGACCTAGAAGCGATGACCTCCAACCTAATAGCGATGGCCTCCAACCTAGAAGCGATGGTCTCCAACCTAGTAGCCATGATGGCCTCCAACCTAATAGCGATGGCCTCCAACCTAGAAGCGATGGCCTCCAACCTAATAGGGATGGCCACCAACCTAATAGCGATGGCCTCCAACCTACTGTGCAACCTCTTGACCTAGAAGCGATGACCTCCAACCTAACAGCGATGGCCTCCAACCTAGAAGCGATGGCCTCCAACCTACTGTGCAACCTCTTGACCGTTGACCTAGAAGTGATGACCTCCAACCTAATAGCGATGGCCTCCAACCTAGAAGCGATGGCCTCCAACCTACTGTGCAACCTCTTGACCTAGAAGCGATGACCTCCAACCTAATAAGCGATGACCTCCAACCTAATAGCGATGGCCTCCAACCTAGAGGCGACGGCCTCCAACCTACTGTGCAACCTCTTGACCGAGAAGCGATGACCTCCAACCTAATAGCGATGGCCTCCAACCTAGAAGCGATGGCCTCCAACCTACCGTGCAACCTCTTGACCTAGAAGCGATGGCCTCCAACCTACTGTGCAACCTCTTGACCTAGAAGCGATGGCCTCCAACCTGGAAGCGATGGCCTCCAACCTACTGTGCAACCTCTTGACCAAAAAGCGATGGCCTCCAATAGCGATGGCCTCCAACCTAGAAGCGATGGCCTCCAACCTACTGTGCAACCTCTTGACCTAGAAGCGATGACCTCCAACCTAATAGGGATGGCCTCCAACCTAGAAGCGATGGCCTCCAACCTACTGTGCAACCTCTTGACCTAGAAGACATGACCTCCAACCTAATAGCGACCGCCTCCAGCCTAGAAGCGATGGCCTCCAACCTACTGTGCAACCTCTTGACCTAGAAGCGATGACCTCCAACCTATTTGCGATGGCCTCCACCCTAGAAGCGATGGCCTCCAACCTACCGTGCAACCTCTTGACCTAGAAGCGATAACCTCCAACCTAATAGCGATGGCCTCCAACCTACTGTGCAACCTCTTGACCTAGAAGCGATGACCTCCAACCTATACATTTGCGATGGCCTCCAACCTAGAAGCGATGGCCTCCAACCTACTGTGCAACCTAATAGCGATGGCCTCCAACCTAGAAGCGATGACCTCCAACCTACTGTGCAACATCTTGACCTAGAAGAGATGACCTCCAACCTAATAGCGATGGCCTCCAGCCTAGAAGCGATGGCCTCCAACCTACTGTGCAACCTTTGACCTAGCAACGATGACCTCCAACCTATTTGCGATGGCCTCCAACCTACTGTGCAACCTCTTGACCTAGAAGCGTAGAAGCGATGACCTCAAACTCCAACCTACTGTGCAACCTCTTGACCTAGAAGGGATGGCCTCCAACCTAAAACTTAAGAGCGATGGCCTCCAACCTATAAGCGCTGGCCTCCAACCTACTAGCGATGGCCTCCAACCTACCAGGGATGTCCTCCAACCTAAGAGTGATGGGCCGAGGCTGGAGTTTACAGCCGGCAACGGTGAAGTCTGCGATGCGCTGGAAGGCACTTAAATCTTGAGTCCATTCACCGGATGTCGAAGAACGGATTTTTCAATGATACCACGCTGGCAAGGAGCAGTCCTGGAGATGAAGCAAGGAGAACGCGCTGTTCTGACCTGCACCAGGCCCACTGGAAACTTGTTTGTTGATGTTTTTTTTTTTTTTTTTAAACTAAAGAATGGTGTGCAAAGCACATATTGTCTTTGCAGCTCTTCACTGAGCTTTGGAGTGCTTGAAGTGCTATCCATTCGTAACCAAATGTAGAAAGAGGGTCCCCTGTTGATTCATGTCAGTACCGAATGTGACTGAATGTATAAGTATTGACCTATCATTTCATGTTTATACTTTATACTAGTACAATGGTTGAACACATTGTATTCTTATGCTTGTATTGAAATGTCTGATCATTTCCTCATATTTTTGAAATCTCTTCAGGGCCAGCAGCTGCACGGAGCCGCAGCTGGGCCTCACTCCGGACGGAGAGGCTGCAGTGCTGGTGCTGTGGACGAAAAGACAAGTTTTTTGGGTAAAGCCAAAGCCGGGAATTGAACATGGGAACTTCAAAGAAACTTCAGACCATCATGACGCTGGAGTTGGTGGAGTTTGAGAAACAGAAGGACTTTCTGAGACAGCACGAAGATGCGTGGGATATCTGGGAAAGACGTTCTGACATGACAACATGTTAATTGCAAGACTGCGTGAAGAGACTGCTACATGTGAGTTTACAGTTGAACTGTGACGTAAGTTCGCCTGCGATGTCCTGTCATGTCAAGACTTGGAACGAACTTCTTGACATCGCATGGTGGAGATGTGAAGACTTTGGTCACAGGTAATTTGCACTTGAGACCCTGGAACTGCTTTGTGAGAACTTGTATCTTGTGGATTTCAACCTAGGTTTGCCGCTTTCACTAGCTTCTTCGAACCAGTTGCTTATTCGCAGCTATTCGTAGATGTTCCAAGTCATTTCCTGAATTCCTCTGGCCATTCGCGCCAGCAGATAGGCATGTTTTTGTTCACGGCAGCACGACATATTGCGGATTGCGGCAAGGACCAGTGGGAGATGAGCGAAGAGGAGAAGGTCCAAAGAGGCCAAGAACGGAAAGACGTCGGTTGGGGCGCCAGAATGGAAAGCCTCCGAGTGAGCCTCGTGTCACACCTCTCACACCTCGTGTCACACCTCGGTGAGCGATGTGGACCCAGGTAGCAATCTCTTTAAGCAGGGCCGCATTGAGTTGGCTTTGGAAAGATACAAGAAGGCACGAGCGGACGCTACTAGGGGCTCCTGGCCTTACTACTAGTAGCAAGGACTGCTGGCCTTACTACTAGGAACAAGAAGCTACTAGGGGCTCCTGGCCTG